CCTAATTTTGCTTAGAGAAAGTGAAAATACAGAGGCGAATCATCAATATCATTCCAAAGATTTTCTTAGCAAGCTAGTTTAATTCAAAATGGGGTTGAATTTATTGAAAACAACTATCAGATAAAAAAATTTATAGATGAAATAATCCATAAACAGAGTGCTTACAGAGAAGAAAAGGCAAACAGGCTATGAGAGATCATTTTACAGTTGTGGATAATTTCTTCTGAGCTATCCGTCAAATGGGTTTTAATGGATAGCCCCAACTCCATTTTCTTACAGAGACGCCAAATTTCAATCTGGCGACCATTTTTTATTTCTTTGGTCCACTTTTCCCCTACCCAATCGCTCAGTCGGTTCAGAAACAAGCGACGCCGTTTTGGAAATTACCAGATAGTTACAAGCTATAACAAGGTGGAGATTTTCTATATCTAATTTATTTCGAGATAATTAAGCCTTCATAATTTGATTCACTTGTAAATGAAGTTAAAATAAATCTGCACTTACTATAAATTATAATACTTTATATTATATTTGATTTTTTTAAAATAAAAAGTTAAGTCGTGTATTAATACAATAATAGTAATCTAATTAAGAGAATTTAATAATTATTTAATATTTTTTTTTTACTATTGTAGCACCCGGAAAGGAGGAAAAAAAAAAAAAAAAAAAAAAAAAAAAAAAAAAGGGGGGGCCACGTCAGCAGCCACGTCAGCAGTCCCGGCCAACCAGGGCCTGCCACGTGGCAAGATCGCGTCACTCCAAAAGGAGCCACGTTGGCGATCCGCGTGGGTGCGATCCGACGGCCCAGATCAATCGTGCGATCGGACGGCCCAGATTCAAACGCACGGACGGCCCAGATTCAATCAAAAACGAACGGCCCAGATTCAATCAAAAACGAACGGCCCAGATTAAAACGAAACGAACGGCTGTGATCAAAAGGCAAGGGGTTATAAATAGAACCCCCACACCAGACCACAAACCCTAGCCGCCAGCCGCTCGCCGGAGAAGACGAACCAGAGGCTGACCGCCGCCACCCGCCGCCACTCGCCGCCGCACCGGGGAAATTTTCGACCGCCGATCGAGGTAAATTTCATACCCCCGACTCGTTTTTCCCCACTGATTCCTCCTATGGCCAAATCGAAGCCGAAATCCCGGCCAAACGGCCGGAATACGCAGCCGAAGCCCAGCGGCGCCGCCGCGCCCCCTCTCGGTTTTTGCCTCCGACGAGGCCCTTCCCGGCCTCCGTTCGATACAATTTTTATATCACCGTGATCACCATTCTTTCCTCTACAGGTTGACCGGAGCCGAATCACCAAAACACGAACCTTGCCAGAGAGCCGCTGCACCCGAGAGCGCCGCCGCCGGTAAGCTCCGTTTTTCCGTGATTTTTTGGCCCCCCGAGGGCCCTAGGGTTGTTTTCTGACAATGACCAATGCGAGTGTGGCCGAATTCGGCCGAAAACAGCCAACCCAAGGCGACTCGCCGCCGTGCCGGAGTTGCGATTTGGTCCGAAAGGGGCCCTGGGCCTAATTTGGATTTTTTTTTGGAACACGTGCAGGTACTGTTAGTGTGTTTCAGTTCCCCGGGAAAAATTCAGGGAAAATTAGGGACGGCCTGCAGGCGCACTGTGAATCGTATTCGGATCCCGAAAACAAGTAAGGACCCCTCACCCTATTTCCTATCACGGTATTAAAGTTCAAAATGATAAAACGGTATTTCTTGAATTAACGCATGTGTGAAATTGCTTAAGGTTGCTAATGGAGCCCGAGTCTAGTGTGATTAATGATTTACTGTTGTTTGGCATGTTTTACACTGTTTTACAGCTTTAAATGCATTATGGGGTTTGATGTGTTCATTTTATAATTTCGAATGCATATATTACTGTTTTATTAATTATGGGTTGAATGACTGAAGAACTGATACTGTATGTTGTCTGTTCGGCATGAATTACGATTTGCTTGTTTAAATGTGAATTGATGATGCTTATTGAGGAAAAAGGGAAATGAAATATTGTATAAACTGATAATTGTATGATGGGGTCAGCCTGACTAGATATCCTGGGAGATGGTGGACGGACCGGGTCCGTAGGGAACCCTACCGGGATTGTGGTCTCACATGCCGGACGGGGCATGGAGATCTTATGGTTTTGGCGCCCATACCGGACGGGGTATGGGGACGGCCCGTTTCACCCTCATACCGGACGGGGTATTGAGGTTTATGGTTTTGGCGCCCATACCGGACGGGGTATGGGGACGGCCCTGGAAACTGATTATGAATGTTAAAGGTTAACGGGTAGCGGGACCCCTAGGGACCCCCATGGATACTAGTAGGCTGGTAAATGAGAAAAGGATATGTTGTATAATGATTGAATTATAAAAGGCGTGATAAGTGCTATGTTTTACAGCTTATATTATTCCATGATTGTGATAATGTTATTATTTTTCTTATATTGTTTTCATAAATTCCACCGAGGTAAGTGGATGGTAAAGGTTTTCATGTTAATAAACGAGTTTATTGTAAATTATGCTCCATTGGTCTTTTTGTGGTTTTCTACCCACCTTTATCTCCGTGACGGTGAGATATCGTGATGTTCTTACTGGGCTAGTGTAGCTCACTCCTTAATTAACCATTTCAGATCAGGAAGACATGGTTCCCGAGCCCGTTCCGCAGGAGGACGACGAAGGGGATGCCTAGAGACTCTGTAGTCATACGCATAGTTTATTTTCGAGTTTTCTTTCTTAGTTAGTTTAACCTTTTATATTTTAAGTACGTTTTTTTTTTGGGTTTTTTCGTGTAAGGGATGTTAACTGAAATTTTGATCTCGCTTCCGCATTCGATATATTTAAATACTCATTTCTTTTTTAATATTTTCCGGGGCCGTTACAACTATAATAATAATAATTTGTTGAAATAAAATATAACTTTTCATTATAACTTCACCAATATAATAACGAAATAAAAATTTTATTTTTATTAAATTAAATATTATTAATATACTACTATCTGTACATAATATATTTATAAAATAATAAATTTTATATTTTTAATAAATTTTAAACTTATAAACTTCAAGTGAAACATTAAAATTTTAATCATTAAATTATTGTATTGATAATTATAAAATTAAAATAGACATTTAAATTTTATAAATTATAATTAGATGTGTACATGTACAGCATATATAATATAATTTTTATAATTATATAGAAGATAACATAAATATTATTTTATATGAACAAAAATTAAATATAAAAAGTTTACTATGAAAACATAAAAAAATAATAATCGTATTTAAATTTTGTAAGATAAATGACGTGGGGGAAGAAAATAAGTGAACAAAGATTTATATACTAAATAATTCAAAAATGTGTGATCAACTAAAAAATTAATCACATAGTTACTTCATTGCACACGTGCTATATTTTTATAATAAAAATATTTAAACATATAATTTTTATACCCTATGATTTTGAACAAATAATGATTATTTATATTATGATATTAATTTTATGCAAATATATTCATTTAAAAATTGATCCTATATTTTAACAATTTAAAAAAATAATTTGAAGAAAAATGAGAAATGAAAATATTTCAATACCTCGTTTTACTTATATATATTTGTATCCTTTTTATTTTATTTGGATTTCTTATTGTATTGTATTCGGTTAATAATTAATAAATAATACAAGTACATAATAATTACTAGTTGAAATAATTAGGTAATTAAATAATAAAATTACACACTGATAATTAAATTTCTCTGTAAAAATTAATGTTTATAAAAAAATTTTAACTAGCTCAACGAAAATTCAAAACTCGTGCAAAAAATAATTAAAATTTAATTTTTATAAAAATCATAAACCTCCAGCTACTAATTATGTAAAATTTAACATTTAGTGGAAATAGTTACAGGCCTCATTAATAAAATTCACCAAAAAAATATTAAACTATTTTGATTTTAACTACTTGTTACGAGGAAAATATATTAAATTTTCACTTATATAAATTAAGAATACAGTTGTGACAAGACAAAAATTTGACATTCTAGGAAGTTGAAATATGATTCATAAGGCTCCCACTGATCATGACTTACATCTACCGAAATCTTAATTTTATTAGAGTTGTAATCCAATTAACCGAATATGATAATGGAGATACTTGGTGGTATATTCAGGCAACCGAATGACCCTTTCAATTGCTAAAAAAACTCAAATTGAACAAAACTTCGAATATTTGAATACTTAATTATTGCATTTAGCCTAAAACACATATCAATCATTTGAACTAAAATCTAAAGAACACATCATTGTTATCTTTAGCCTCAAACTAAGTTCTAAGGCTCGGTTTCCATATAATCAAATAACCTTGAACCCAATTTTGATGGGGGGAAAATAAAAATGTATAAGCAATATTCATGAAATGTGGCTTGCATAATCACTGTGTGCTTCACCGTATCCCAACAAGCATAATCTTACCTTTCATACACCATATGAAAATCACTGTCTGATTGCCCTTTTTCTGATTCTAAAGACCATCAACCCTGCATCTTTGACTCACTTGATTTCCTCAAACTACCTAATATTCCATCAATCAATTTGTCCTTGTTATTTGAAACAGAATCTGAAACAAAAGAGTAACTCTTTTGCATTCTCCTCTTCCGTCCTTGACTCAAACAATTCTCGTTGCTACCTGCTCGAGACAAGCCAGACAGCTTCAAACCATCTGATGAAGAATCAACTACACCATCAACATCCTCCGACTTTTTATCTTCCTTGCTACTGCGCCATGAATCTAAGATTTGCAGCAATGAGCTATCTTCCTCATTTACTCCTGCTTTTCTCTGAAATCCATTCTGCTTTACAGGAGAAGTTTCTTCTTCTGAATCTGAAAGGTTATCATCTGATAGGGATGGTTCGTAATCAGGAAGAGATTCTTTATTTCTTCCTTCTATTCTTCTGTCCAATACTGATCTAGGTGTACTATTTGAAACAGGTCCCAGTTCTTCAAATGGCGAGTCCAAATCATCCTCTCTCCTTGATGTACCAGATGATTCCCTATCTGAATTTGATACTAGATGACTATCACTCTTTTCTTCAATATTATGAAAGGCAATTTCTGTGCAGGAAGCTTTTGAGGCTACTCTAGAAGGAAAAATACAATAGGATGCTATTCTAATCCCAGGCATCATCTGTAAAAGGGTTGTCAACTTTTTGTAACCAAGCTTTTGAATGTCAAGAGGATAGCCATACCTCTCCAGAAATAGCTTCTTAAAGGAGCCCATTGAATATCCTTCTGGGTATTCCTTTGTTACCTCTTTCACAAGCTTTTGACAGTCAGCAAGTATCTCACTTCTAGACTTGTTTGAAAGACTCTTATAAATACCAGATTCAGAAACTTCACTGTAAGTATTCTGTAATTTTTTTTCTCTATCATGTTCTTCCTGCAAATTGGACTGTAACTGTGGCTCTAAAAAGATGGATCTAAGTCCATTTGCAGCATGAGAATGACCCACATCAGGATTTTTCTCAGCTGGACAAGCAACTTGGAAAAGTGGCATTTGAGAGGGACATACTTTGATCCATTTCTTCTCCGACACTAACATATCCACCAACTGAAAGATATCAGAATCACTAAGAGATTGAAGAGCGATAGGTCCTTCTCTCTGCAGACATTTTGCCATCTGTTCCCTGACATAAATCAGAAATAGCAGATGAAATTTTACAATATGATGTCAGCTAGGAACTGCCAAAATTTCTAAACTTCAATAACACAATGTTTTAGAATTCATACTGTCAGTTTTGTTCATACAAAAGGAACTACTGTTAGAACATATTACAGTTTCCTATATTATTGAGGAGTATTATTATAGTTTTAATAACTTATAATTCTCATTCTTATTAATATTTTTCTATTTGTATTAGTATTCATAATATTATCAGCATTAGTTTTTTATTCTTCTTAAAATTAGTATTCCTAATTCTACTAGTTTATATTTCTTATTCTATTTCTAGTTAGGCAATATTGCTTAGAGATTATTCCAATTACTTGTAATTTTACTTATTGGAGCATTTAAGATATTCGATAAAAATATTTTGAGAGTTTTTCAATTTTTAATTGTATGATGCAATCAAACTTGTAAGATGAAACTTAAGATTTCATAGCCGTGATGCCTAACAAACCTTAGGTGTAATGTCTAGGTTTTTTTATCTCCAAATCTCTAATTGGACAAGTTAATCCTATTTATCATACATTAATTTGGTATTAGAGATAAAAGAATCCTATATCAAAATTTTCGAAATAGTACCAAATCCATCTGGGAAAAAAACACCAAAAGAAATTTTTAGGAAAAGAAACTAAAACAGCCACCAAAACTGTTCACCAGCCACCTGCAGGAGATGATCGACAACGCCACTACCACCAGCTCTAAAAGGTCTCAATCGGCCGACCCCTGAAGCCCCACCGTGAAACTCCACCAAAAACATCCACACTCGCTAGCGCAAGCTCCCGCAGCTGCTGCCTCTTGCAAATCCACACTTCTGCACTGTTGCATCCAACACCAGCTTCCAATCTAAGATCAGCACCTTCAACTGAGCCGCTCACCAAAAGGCCACTGCCATCCAGTGATCAGAAGCCGTCACGTGAAGACCACGCGTGACCAGCCGCAAGTAGACCTTGTGCAATCTATTCTGTTTTGGCTTCTCCAATGAGTTCCCGGTTCAACCAGGCTTTCTAAAGAGAAATTAAGCTTCAACAATGGTGACTAACACTAAATTAAATGTTAAATTTGAGACACATGACATAACCGTTAATACCATATTGGAAGCAATGCAAAACATCATTAAAGCAATCTTGGAAGAACTAAAATACTTATGCACAGCACAAGTACGTCTGCCAATTCAAAATATATAAGTTGAACACGTTGCCGATAGAAGACACATTGAAGATAATACTAGAGATATTACCAAGATAGTAAAAGTTGAAACTCCTAATTTTAATAGAAAAAGAGACTCCGATTTCTTTCTTGATTGGCCTAATTCAAATGGAAGAATACTTCAACTAGTATGACATGTAAGATGCACGAAGAATTGAATTTGCCAAGATGAAGTTGGTTGGACTTGTAAAAATATGAGTATACTATTGATGCAAAAATAACAAGAAAAAGACAATCAACAACTAAAACATCGGATGAGATGAAAACTATTCTTCGAGAAAAATATCTACTCCTGACTATTTTGACAAATTTCATGACCAAGCTTACACTTTAGCCTAGCGCAACATGCCAGTAACTGAATACACACAGAAGTTTGAAAAATTACAAATTCGGAGTCATCTAAACGAAGCGATAGTCAAGGAGCATCTTGATTCAAGGCAAGACTAAGAGTTGATATTTTTGTTTTGAAATAAAAAGTATGAATAATACATTAATGAAAGGACACCAAAGGAATGTTACCTGTATATATATTTACATATTAGTAAGTAGATCAATAGCATTCCCAAAATCATCCCATATGTAAATGTCATGAGCCAAAATAGAGAACCAAAAAAGTGTAACTATTTATCCCTAATTTTATACATTTCATACTCAATCCCCTCAAACGCTCTCCTGTTTTTTTCTTTCGACACCACCCAAAAGATAGTTAGAGGAATGAGCATTAAAGGCTTTTTTTTTTTTTTTTTTTTTTTTTTTGTAACAAAAACCCGCCCAAGCCCTGAGTTCATCCCTCACTAACCCCTCAATAACCCAATTAATCCCCAACAAACCATAAACCATAGAAGACATATCATACACCATCCAGCACCATAGAAGAATATAGTTGCACGTCTCTGCAGCAATCCTACAGAGGTAACAACCGCTGACAAAAGTTCAGCCCCCTTTTTATTAAGTTGTCAATAGTCAAGATACATTTCCTACCTGCCTCCCAAGTGAAGAAAGTAATTCTACGCAGTGTATTCACCTTTAAAATCTGATTATATGGAAAACTATCAACCCCCCATCAAATCGGCCCCTCAAAAACTTATAGTAGGATTTAACAGGGACTAAAAGTTGATATTAAAAGAGAGTTAATTTACCAACTATATCACAAACTTATCAAACCGTCCTTAATGTGCAAGAATAATTGAAATGTCCAATCCCAGGAAAAGTTGTGGGATCAGCTCCTAAAGATACAATTAAATCAAATGGTGAACTGAAGAATGAATCAACCTCATATTTCAAAACTCCTAAAGCTAAGGGAAGTTGTGTGCTTTATCTGTGGATAAAGCGAGTAACTCATGCCCAACAAACAAAAACTTGCATGTTGGAATAAAAGAAAAGGAGGAGATGCAAGAAAGAGATGATGGTTACGGATCTTAGGAGGATGATGATTTAGCTCCTATAAACAATTAAGTATCACTATTTTATTAAGGTGCATATCGTTAGTAGACTCCATAGAGGAAAAGCAAGAAGAATCACTATGCCTTCCTAGTGCTCAAGATCTTTCTCTAAGAATCAACTCTATGGATGGGCAAGAGGAATCATTGTCTTCCTATTACTCAGTATCTTTCCCGAAGAGTCAACTCTATGAAAATTCCATGCAACAAGGCATTTGACAAACCAATTGGCCAACATGTTGATTTCATCCTCCCGCCAAGATTTGATACTCCTACAATTGCGCATTTCTATTATTTTAGGTATTGGTGAGAAGAAACAAACACAAAGGTTGATAAGTTTTCATGGAGAAGCTCGAATGTTAAGGTTTTATATTATCTGGTAGTTCAAAACTCGTTGATGAGTTTTCTCCAACAAATGGATAATGATGCAAAATAGGCTAGCATTAGATCTCCTAAATAATTTAGAAATTTTAATTATATTAAATATAAACTACTATCTTATTTACGAGTTTATATTATTGGAGTATTATTGTAGTCTCAGTAACTTAAGATTTTTTCATTATTAGTATTTTTCATATTTGTATCAGTATTCTTAGTATATTAGTATTAGTTTCTTATTTTTATTGAGATTAGTATTCCTAATTCTACTAGCTTACTAGTTTTTATTTCAATTAGGAAATGTCGCTTAGAGATTATCTACTAGCTTACTAGTCTTTATTTCAATTCTATTAAGGAAATGTTGCTTAAAGATATTAAATACCTTGTAATTTTATTTATGGGAGTATTTAAGTTATTCAATAAAATATTTTGGGAGCATCTCAATTTTTGGTTGTATGAAGCAATCAAACTTTTAAATGTGATGTTTAAAATTTCTTCCATGTGATGTCTTAGAGACCTTATATATGGTGTCTAGGGCTTTTATCCTCGAATTCCTAATTGGACAAATCAACCTTATTTGTCCTACCTCAACCCTCCTGATTGTGTGATGCAATCAAACTTTTAATTGTGAAGTTTAAAATTTCTCCGATGTAATGTCTAAGAAAACTTAGATATGATGTCTAGGGTTTTTATCCTCAAATCCCTAATTGCATAAATTAACCATATTTGTCCTACATCAGAGGTTATTTCTTGATGAGTTCAAATACATGGTAATATTATCTTCATGTAGATCCAAGGGCGGTACCCCGTTGATACCTTTGTGAATAATATTACTTCTCTTATATTTCAAAAAAAATTATCTTCATGTAGATCCAAATCAAGCTCAGGAGGTTTCTTTCCTTTATATATTTGTTATTGTGGAGTTGGAAATACAATGAGAAACTAGAAACAAAATTATAATCAAAACGAATATTGAATAAAGTAGCAAGTGATAGTTTGAACCACATGCCAAACACAGTAGAGAAACAAAGAAGAGAAAGTTTGTTAACCTGGTTTTTGATTGTGAAATGGTAGCTGATCCTCTAGCCGAATTGAGGAAGGCTTTCATGTCACTCCAGAAATAGTCATCAGTAAAAACCACGTGCTTTTTAGAATGGCTAGTTACATGATCAAGAATTTGACAGGATTGGTCACTTCCATTAGCAGTGTCTGTGCTTCTCCTCCAGAATTTCCACCAGCTTGGAATCCAGTTAAAGAAACCTAGATTTGAGCCAGATTTATAATTAGATGCTTCAACACTTGTTTTGCTGTCCTCAGCTAATTCACTAAAGCCTGAAGAAGACAACACCGAACATGCTGGATCAGCATTTGAAGAAGGTGATTTTACAGATTGTGCCCCAACTATTTCCTGTTCCTTGCTTTTGCTAGAATTGCTACATTTTTCCTTATTTTTTAAGCTTTTCCTCTCAGAGCAATCTAACTTAGAGCCTTTTTCATCTCTACTCGTCTCAGAACTGCCTTGATTGCTGCCAAACCATCGTCCCCAGATTCTTTTAACAAATCCCATCTCATGTGGATAATCTTCTTCGACCTTGCTAAACACCACAGTTTCCACCTCAACATTCTTCCCATCAGCTAGAAGTGGCTCTTCCATTTTTTCTGGATGCTTTTCCATATCCAGTCTAACATTATTACTATTATTCGCTGGATTACTATGCTGCATTTTTGGAGAAGGCTCTTCCCCTCTTGGTTTTGGGGTTTGAAAAGCCATCAGCTTGCTTTCCATGCCTTGATTAAGAGATGCATCCTCAGTACTTAACCCCAGACACAAACTGATATCCTGATCTCCATTTCTGTAAACAGGTTTGGTAGATATGCAAGAACTGGATTCAAATGGCTCAGGGGCTTTTGCGCTGATTCCATGTACAACATACTGACCATCAACTACCGACTGAAGCCTTAAAATGTGTGGCATTGAAAGAAGAAAGCGAGAGAACTTTTTATATCCATAATAATCTCCATCTATGTTAAAATTACTTTTACTCAACTCTGCACGAAGTTCTGTAATAGAAATTCCCTTAGGATATAAGCTTAAAATTTGACGAATCTGCTTGACAACTACCTTTGGAACCGGACGTGGTTTAGAATCTGAGCCAGGGTCATACAACTCCTCACCTCGTGAACATGCCGCCTGCTTCATAACTAAGAAGGGATCTTCAAGAGGCACCTTATAATGGCCATACCAAGAACCATGAGGACCATCTGGAGGTTGGTTAAAATGCTTTCCAGTTAGAACCTCACCTCTAAGTAAAGTGTGCCAATGCCACATAATACTCGCAGCACTGCAAAGGACATCAGAAGCAGATTCTGGACTAGCAAGCAAAATATTATAATTATTCATCCTTAAACGGTGTAATATGTTGGCAAAGTCTCTATCCCCAGAGATCAAAAAAAGATGTGCTGGTGGAGGATGTTGAGAAACCCAATACATAAGATCTACTAGTAGAGACCTGTCTGCGCTGTTCTTTCCACCTAAATTGGTAGGAAATGTTACCATTGTTAGACAATTAAGAAACTGTCTGATTAGCTATGAAGAATATCTACAGCAGGAATTTATATCACAGCACATTTCCATTGTTTTTCCAACTGAATCAATTATTCCAAACCCAAGGAAAAGGTCTGCAGTTCTATATCCCATAACCTCATGCATTACATCATGTGTAACACAAAATCAAGAAGATGGAGTACTGCATGCCAATCAAAAGAGCATAATATAAATGCAATGGATCTTCATGCCATCCCAAGCACTAAAACTCACTGAGATCCTTGTCAACTCAATCGAGGAGGAAACTAACACACTTATATTTGAAAGACATGGGAAACACTATAGCATCTCTAAAAGCAGCATCTGAAGAGGCTAGAGAATGGGAAATTATGAAAACTACCTACTTTTTTTTTTCTCTTTAAAAAAAAACCTCCCAGTAATTTTGGCACCTCACAGATTTTATACTGTTTTTAGACATGATGACTTCAGGAAGCAGAATTCTTCTAGGAAGTTGCTTATTCCAATACATATACACATTTGGTAAAATGCATATTCCAATATGTAAATGATAACGTTTCCTTTTAACCTAAAAAAAGAAAGAAAGAAAAACAGCCAAGCCTGAATAGCCAATGGAGGAAACAAAGTCAGAAAAAGAGATGATAAGTTTTAAGACCTTGTAGATTTTCACATAGGCACAACTCAAAGAACAAGTCTAATTGGGAATTCAAAAAGGTTCACCAATCCAAGCCACCTAAAGCCATAAACGACTTTTTCTGTGTAATCATGTAAATATCGATAACAAAAAATCTGATCAACCAACAAATCTTCTATGCATGCTTTTATCCTAATCTTCACATATACCTCCAAGATTCTACAAAGCAACAACTTTTCAATATACATTTCATTACAATCTTCAGCCTCATCGCTTCCTCATTCTAACTCCAACTCCAATATAAGGATGCCAAAAATGGCTATAATTGCAAAAACTTGCTAAACCAGCAATTGCAACAACTCATGTTTGCGACCTTGATTAAAAAATACCAAAAAAAAATATTCCTTATAAAAAAGAAAGCACAAGAAAATAACACCACCTTCAATGCTAAGAAAAAAAGTTGCTTGCAAATAGATTCGAATTCAAAGTTACCCCACCACTAGGGACATGAGTAAGGTTGATTCCAGTGGAAGAAAGCGCCTCTTGGTTGGCTCTAGAAAGTTGCAGAATGTCCCCAAAGGCGGTGATGGTAATGGGACCTTTGATTCCGCTGGCCCTGATGGCAGCGGTAATGCAGTGAGCAACTTTGAAGACATTGACACCAGCAGGCAGATTGCAGTTCTCGAAATCCCACCACACAGACACCTTCACGTTTCTCGAGTCCTCTTCCTGGCGTCTCGACGAGAAATGGAATGAATTGGAAGGAACGTTCGAGAAGGAAGAGAAACGAAGAACGAAGATTGAAAGTGGATGTTTAGATGGTAGAGAGGAAACGGAGAGGAGGGTTTTGGGAGAGAAACGTTTGATGAACATTACTGTGGTTCTAGGGTTTTAGGTTCTTGTGCCCTTCCGTGCAGATTGAGAGTGAGTTTTGTCAGTTCATTTTTTTGTGGCCTCTGAAACTGAGAAACTTAGCAGCTCAGCTGACAAGGATGGAGAGAGGACATGGCAATGAACACAAGCAACCTAAAACCCTTTGTTAAAGCGGTAACCCTCGACAGGGTTTTGTGTTAGTAAATTTTAATATTTTTGTTGGTTATAAAAAGAAAATGTAATATTTCCCTTTTATTGAAAAAAAAAAATTGTCTTATTTTATCTTCCCATAAATTAAAATTCAAAAATATGTGTATGTATATATGTATAATACATAGCTGCATATTAACTTAAGATGATTTTTTTTATTGACAACTTTATTTTTCTAAAATTTTATTTTATTATTCTATTTTAAATTGAAACATTAAAAAAATCGTTTTTATAATAATTTGTATTTTTATTATTTTATTCTGTCAATTTTTTACTTTATTTTTTAAATTTGTATATTTGTGCATGATATACCTTTTTTATTTACTGTTTTGGTTCCATTAAGGGAGCTTTCAAGTATCTCATCATGAATTTTTCTTAGCTTCAACGTATAAATAAAGATTTATTGATTGGTAATGATGTTATAGTTTAGATATATCCCCCCATATGATGGCTGAGGAAGCGAATCTTTTATTGGCTGGAAAAGTTCATATTGAAAGAAATATAAACTATTTAGCCTTAATTGCGATGATGAAATAATATGAAAATATTAGTTTGGCTTTTCTACAAGAGAGTGGTCTAGAACAACTTCATTTCTAATTTATAAATGTTTTAGATGTTGAGTGTATTCAGTAATTACTGCCTTGACATTTTGAGTGAGTGGTGATTTGTCTAACTTCATTAAAGGGATATGAACACTCGAGCATAGTTTAATGTTTCCATACAAAATTATGGGCACAAATTTATGAATTGTCTCCTAAGCTACTAAAACTGAGGTGGGGAATAAATGAGGAGACAAAATGGGTTCAATTATCTTAATGGACCCTCGTATGGTTAACAGTACCTAATTTAATTTAGGAAGACTATCCATGATTATTTTTCAAATATTAAGATGTTATTTTGATTATTGAGTACCAAGACCTTCGAAATTCATTCTTAATAAATTTTTCCTAAGTTTTTTCTCAAGCTTTTTTGGTCCTAATCAATTGTCATCAAAACCTAAACTTGATCCATCACACTACCCTAGTTTACTCATTCTAACTTTATAAGATAAAACTATGTTTTTGCCAAATGAAGAGCAGGGAAAACCCTAAAATACTAAAATAACTGATAATAAACAAACAAGAGAAAATAGCATTGTCAACCAACATAATCTATAGCCATCGTTATAAGGTGGTCAACATCACCTCTTCCATTATCATAAGAGGAATCTAATCAGTTCTTTGACTAAGTTTTAAGTGTTCACCAATCTTGAGAACCACTTTACCCTTTACTAGAAGTTACTTTTGCTTTACTAGAACGGGTCCTAACCCACCTATTAAAAATAACATCAAAATCGGATACAACACCACTGCCTCTATACGACTCTTCTTCTAAAAAATCATAGTCGGTGGTTCAAAAGTTAATGATTGACTTTTATACGTTGGCCAATCCACATGGTTGTTCGTAGTTTAACAACTTATGTTGATTGATTCATACTAGGCTAACTCATTCTAATTCAATTTTTTGGTTCAGTCACCTTCAGACTGGTTTTTAATATTTTTAAACTGGTTCATAAGGCTTTTAGGCATGCTCTTTCATTTTCAAGGTTAGTTCGTTAAATTTATATTGTATCTCATTTATTTTGGTTGGTTGATGATCAATGTCTATTCATACATTCAACATAAGTTATTTAATTTCATATGAATGTCAAGTCTCCTAATTAGATTTATGGAAGAGAAAATGAATTTAATGATAGTAGTTTTATGGTGTCATGTGGTAATGGATTTTTACTGACCCTTGTCATTCCACTACTAATTTTTTTTTAATTTTAAACAAAATTATATCTAGAGTCATATAAGTCAATGTGAGATTACTTTGTCCATTATTAAAAGCATTAGTGGATTATCAACTTCTCAAGCACTCAAATCATTTTGAAATTTGCTCATGGCATACGTAAGTTAAATACAATGTTAGTTAAATAGAATGACTACACTAGATATTTCTTGTGACGAGACACCAATAAAAAAAGTTTTCGAACTAATTATTTCTATATTTAAATTAATTTGTGAGTTGACGAGACAATATATGTTAATAAAATTTTAATTCTTTACTTGTAAGAACTAGGCTATATTTGATGATGTTGGGTCTTGATTATAAAGAATTAATGATAAAAAATCTTCAAGGACTTCCTTAAGTCTATCATACAACATTAGAATAATGTTCTCTCATATATAGAAGAGATAATGATCATACTTTTACAAGAAAATGATTATATTTGAATAAAATTATTCTCTCTACTCCTACATAGTGTTTGAAGAGATAAGAAACAAGTTTCACTAGTTGTTGATGCGTTAGTGAAGATAGTTCTTGAAAGTTGTTTACAAAGCTTAAATAATTTTCGATACATAGAAAAAATCTTTAAGAATTCTCCTAACACAATTATAATGATATAGTGACCATTATATGCCACAACTTATATCTTTTTTTAGAGTAAGATGATCTCACCATCATTTATAATAGTGATCTAGTGATCACTAGATACACAACTTATCTTTTTCTA